GGAAAAACTCTTCCAGATGTTTCTAAGTTTTATTGAATTAATCAGTCTTCCAGAATAAGAGTGTAGAAACTACATTTAAACAGGTAATGTCAAGGGTTATTAGAGATGAAAACTAACATTGCTTGTTAGTTTTGTATTGAAGTTCATATATTGAAGTTCACATCTTCAGCAATCTGCTTCTCGTGCAACATTTTGGGGTATGGATGCAGCTTTACGAAAGGGAATGCTACTTGGTGGTATATTCTTAATGCTTAGATTCATTTTTTTTTTAAGTCGACATACAAACCACTGCAACATGTATAGTGAGTAAACAAGCACTCCCAAGCTGCCAGAGAAGATAGGGATATGTGCAAAGTGATAGGACAGCTAGTTTACTTTTATCCTCAGATTAAATAAGCATATTTACCTTTTAACAGATACCTGAGCTGGCAAAATGAGAGGGAAGAAGGCAAGGCACGGGAAATTTTGAGAAAGACTGTGAATAGTCCTTCCAATCACTCCTGCCTGCTTGGGATATGGGAAGAAGGAAGCAAAGACAGAAAAGGATTATTCTCATGTTGTTACAGTCTGTCAATGAGCTGAGAAAACCCTTCCAAAAAGCAGTGTGTTCAAATGGATACACTTCCAGGATTTCTAGTTCCTACACTCATACCTCTGTCATCCTAATAAAAAACCCAAACCCAAACAAACTGTCAACTACATGAAGTCTCATTGCTTGAGATTGATCTTCCCCTCCATGCTCCAGTTGCTCAGGCTATAGCTGGAAAAGGTTTAGTAGCCTTAGAGAAAATCCAGACCATGCCAGATGCAAAACCTAACCTAGCTGAGGGCCAGGAATTCAGAAGCAACTGAAGTCTGCTGACATGCCTAGTCCACAGAGCATCTCATGTTCAAACTGATTACTGGCATGGCAAGACTCAGACAGCTCGGTGATTTTGTCACGTGCCAACAAGTTCATCCATGATGATCTTGGCCTTGCATGCTGAATTTCTGTTGTCCAGGGCAGGATCATGCCCCAGGCCACAGTCAAGACTGGTAAACTGGATCACCTAATGGGCGACCTTCTGCTGGTGTCACCCAGACTCATCAGACACTTCTCTTTGCATTCAAGCTGTTGTTCAGGCTCCCCAAAAGCACGGGTTGCCATTCTCCCCCAGCTTGGCCCATGCCTCAGAGATGCCCTCTCAATGCCCTGAGAAGCGATATCCACCCCAAGGTCCTCCTAGGCAGTGTTAGGGCACATAAGCGGTAACTAAATACCCAGTGTCCAAAACCTGGTGGGAAGTTTGGACTTCCATGGTGGTTTAGTTTCAGAGACACACACAGCTCTTTGAAGGTCACTGCTCCAGCTCTTTCACATCCATCTCTATTTTTTTTACTTCCCTCCTGCCCAGGACATATTACATTTGTCAGCTCTGTCAACACCAAGTTTTTATTTTCCCATTTTGTTCTTACCCCTTGTGACCCAGTTCATCTGTTTTTCTCCTGCCTTTTCTCTACCCTCATAAAATCAGAAGCCTGGAACTAACACTTATTTCAAAAGTGGTGGTGGAGCCATCAGCTGAAAGTAGATTTTTTTTCCAAGCCTTGAACATCTGTCAGCAAACATTGTGGGGTAGTGCTTGTTAACATAACAGGTTGTATGGAAAAACACAGCAGTGCCTCTCTCCTCTCTCCACAATCTTCCTCAATTTTGATTCACTGGGACTGTCCTTCATCTAAGGCCTACAAAATGGGTAAACAGGCATGTTTACCAAATCAAAATGAGAGGGAACATTTTAGGGAGTAGGTTGTACAAGGGACTGCAGGCAAAAACCCCACAATGCTCTGGCTAGCTTAAAGGGCAGAAATCATTGCAGCATGCTGCTGCTATCAAATCTATAAGACATAACCTCATTTATTACTCATCATGTTGCCACTTATGAGAAAATGAATGAAAATAGTAAAAAAATTTAAGTTTCAAAAGAGAAGTCGTGAAAACAGGTGTGTGATGTACCCTTCTGGGCATGTGCTGGTGGCTTGTAGGATTGATTCTGGCCCTACTCGTATGTGAGAAACCCCAGTGGTGAAAGATCATCAGAATATACAAACCCTTTAACACATCTGTTGACATGTGCCAGTTTTACATGAACCATTCATTTACTGGCCTTTTTTTTAATTAGAGATACAAAGTGCAAAGAAATAAGCTGCACAAGATACTATGCCCAGGAGAATACCAATCTCATGTGCAGGAGCAGCTCCGGGTTTTAACTGTAAGGTATTTGACTAAGTATAGTTTATTTAACCTCGATGACCTTTCGTGAAGGTGCTCTCTGTTCTGCTGCAGCAAAGGAAAAGTAAACATTGTTATTTTATTAAAACCATTTATCTTAGGGTATAAGCGACCAATACCCTACAGGGATCACCTCTCGCACATACACTCTGAGTTTGCACTTGCATAGCAAGTATTTTGATTTAGAAGAGATATTTCCCCAAAATCCAGGACGACTACACTGTGGTAGGTCTACAGAGTACTTCAAAGAGTATGTTGCTCCTCCCCACTTACAGATATGTTGCAAAGCACATTGAAACCAACTATGACTTTCCACCCACTCAACTGGGCTTCAGACCAGGATAACTACACCTTTGTCTCTTTGACTGCCCAGTGAAATTGGCATTAGCCCTACCCAAACGTAGAAATTGCCTGATACAGGCAGACTGGAATTTGCATGATCTTGGCTTAGAGCAGTTCCTTTTGCCATGCCAATATTCAGCTTGTTCTATATGCTTAGTTTAGGGGGGGAATTTGCTGTTGATAGTGTTTTTACTGATAAATGTTTGCTATCATAATTCAAGAACTGGTTTCCTGAGCTATGAAATATCTGCACAGAAGAGTTCTAGTAGGAATTACTGCTCCTCGGGGGTGCAGCCGGACTTGGGACTGTGTGCAGACAGCAGTGGGGAAGGAAGGCGGCAGGGAAGGAAGGAGGGATGGCAGGGAGGGACAGAATATTCCTGACCATATTAATTCCTATTCTCACTTACTGCTTTCTGGACAGTGTTTCTGTAGCTGGAGTTCTGTCATACCAGAAAGGTCCACCCACTTGCACTGCTCTCTGTGTCCCAGTGCTAGAGAAGTGCCAGCATTAGTAGATGACGTATTTGTTTTGCATTGTGTGTGCCATAAATAGCATCAAGACATATTACCATGTTCTGGGACTGATTTTGTCCATTTGCTGTCGCTGTTATATGAAGGAAAAAATTTAAATAACCATGAAAATGCAGAGGAAGCATATGACTATTTCACACAGGCTCTGCCTATGTGCCACCTGCTCCCTTTTTCCTCAGCCAAAAAGAAGCAAGCTTTGATTGGATTTTTGGTTTTGGTGCCAGATTAGACCTGTAGCACTATTGCAAGTGTCCAGGCTGTGCCACTCAATCCCAGATGGAAGTTTAAGCACTTCAACAACTAGACTCTGGGGCAGTATGAGCACCTTTGTGCTCTCATCTCTGAAAAGCACAGTGTTGGTAACTTTTATGTCTTTTCCATTGACTTTTCTTAGCCTCCACATATGATGGAGCAGAGTCAAATGCAGATCTTATTTCCCGACCAGGTCATTAATCCATTCCTTCCTTGTCCCTGTGAGATGCATATATATATAAAATTCTGTTACAGTACCTGTGTTTCCAAAACTACTTTGGTTTTTGTCTCTGTGGTGAGCTCTCTAGCCAAGATAACTCTTGGTTCCAGGTAAACAGCCCTTCAGCCTCCAGGTAGAGTTGTTCTTGTTGGAAGTGTTCCTAATGAGAGTGAGCAAAGCCTTCTTTTTACACCTGTGTTTCCTCAGTGGGCAGAAGAGAAAATGCAGCTTTGATTTTTTTTCCCCCCAAAGTCTTAATGCTAAATTAAATTCCAGAAAAAGTTAAATTTTAAAGACTCTGAAGGGTTAATAAAACTGCTGTCTCCCATCTTCTCTTTGCCTCCAGAAAGGTGGGACCCGAATTTTTTCATTGGATGCCAGAATCAATTTTTTTCAGCAGAAATCCTTTGACTGAGTGAAATACGCAACATCAGACAGTTTTCTGCCTGAGAAAAAGTGAATCATTGCTGCCTTTATTGCTCGTTCTGTTTATTAAAACTGCTGGGCCAAGACTTATTTTTAATGAATTCTGATTAGTCACAGCCAGTGATTTCACAATTCATGTTAGTAATGTAGGCATTTGTTGCACTGAAAACAGCTCATTTGCTTATTTTCTGGAAGACCTTTTTCTTCATCTGACTTGAAATTGGTCACACAGACCTCTCTGGGATTTTTCAGGCTGAGTATATTTGTTCCCATGGATAGAGGCCATATGTCAAAACCCTTTATTGTCACCAAAGAAAAAAACCCTCACTTTTATTCTGCTAAGTCGTTTCCTTTTTTTTTTTATGTTTACTCTGCCTTACCATCCTGCCTCACTAAACCATACCTCATCCTTGTGTTTCCTCCAATATGAATGTGTGTGTAAGGCAAACCACATACTTTACAGATGGGAAAAGATAACATATAAATCAAACTGTATGACAAAATAGAGACAGTTATAATGTAGGTTGTAGAATAATGTGTCTGCATTATATCTTCTTTTAAAAAAAATAAAAATGGAGCAATGCAGTAGAAATCAATGTGCTTAGTTTTAACCAAAAAAGAGCTAAAACTCTGTAGCAGTTTTTTAGTGAAACTGGAGCTTTTGGACTGGCTGTTAGAATGGTAAGCTATTGCAAATCAGTGCAGAAGGGCCACACAGCAGGGCTGGGCTGACACGAGTCCAGCGCCTGGCCAGCGGCACTGCACCAGTTCCTTCTCTTCCTGCCTGTGTTCCCCAAAATCCATGAGAATGAACCCACTCATTCCAAAGGGGTGTTTACTTTCATTTTCTGAAACAGTTTTAAAGCAGTTGTTGGAAGATGATTAAACAAAATATTACAGAAATGGCTTCAGATGAGAAAAGGATCACACTGTATGGTGCTGGCACCAGATGCCCATCTGGGTCATGGCTGCAGGTACTGATGAAGCAGCAGTGATAGTCCCCAGCTCAAGATGGGTGTCAAGCTGCAGGGCTTTACTCACAGCTCAGGTAGCCCAATCTCAGTATACTCCTCCTCTCCCAGACAGCTATCAAAGAGACATCACTCTTTAAAGAAACAAATTATACTACAACTCTGCACAAAGCACTGCTTTAAGAGGAGATTCTTGCCAACCCCTCACTATTTCCTTCCCTTTGCCTCATCCTGGTATAGTGCAGTCTTGTCTTACATGGGAAACCATGGCAATTGGATCATTCAATGCAACAATGCCGTATTAGTCATTCTCCACACCTTTTTCCCTTTTTTACTGTCTCACTGTCTGTGCTGAGGTTGCCTGCACTGCCAACAGCAGTGGTATCTAATGGTATAACAGAGGGGGACAGGACTGACACGCAGATAATTCATCTCTTTGTCTACTCAGAGGATGGATTGTAGCCAAGATACAAATTTAGAGGATGTTGGTAGTTTAAATTCCTCTGCTTCCACCGTTCAATCAAATACCTGTTTGCATTCCCGTACCCCTCAGCATTAGTAATGTTGACCAGTTAGTAACGTTGGTATCCACTAGTAATTTGAGTAAACTCTAAGAGAATTCAGTCCCAGTCTCCCTGTGAGGAGCCTGGCTTAGTCTAGGCCTCAAGCAGTGAATTGTCCCCTCTGTATCTCAGAAGACGGGCAGGAGCAATATTCAGAACAGAGCGGAATTTCCATCTTGCCTCTGAACTATGGTTGAGGTTCTTTGTTAGTGGGTTGGGTTGCACTTTGTCTTTAACATTTGACCATCATCACCCTGAGATGCACAGAAACATGGGTTCCCATGGTGAAATCCAAGTGTCTGGTATTTCTAGCTTGTGACTTGGGCTTTGTGCTAGTTTACATTTATCTAGTACTACCAGAAGAGTTGGTTCATGCAACATTATGGTGAAAAGAAAATAAAACTTACAAAAATATAAAAATATTAAAATCCCACTTAATACAAATATTTGCATACCAGAAACTTGTGAAATAGATAGATCCATCTATCTAAAACACTAATATTTGCTTTTACATAGTAGTACTCTAGCACTTCAGATTTTAAAAAAAAAAAAAATGCATGTTGGCAGCAAAATGCATGGCCATGCTTGTACTATGGAGAATAACGGCTCTATTTTCAGACACAAAATCAGAGACACTCCTCTGTTTTGCTTTTTAACATCAATGCATAAGGAATTCACGTGATATGGGAATACCTAGACCCAGCTAAGTTCTGATTCATTCTTGCTTTGCTTTCACGAAACATAATTAACAGATACAGCCTTTCTTTTCTAAGACATTTCATGTTGACTCTCAAGGAAAACTCCATATTTCTATTTTTAGAGTTCTTTCAGATAAAGGTTTACTTTTAAAAATATTAAAATATAAAGTATAAGTTTTAGCCCAAGAAGTTGCTGTGGGTGCCAGATCTACAGCTGTAGCCACAGTGTAACCAGATGTCCAGGGACAAAAAACAGGACAACTGTTTCTGCTTAGTGGGATTCCAGGACTGACACTACACCAGCACCCTGACAAAGCAATATATGACCATTGCCATTTTAGGCACTCCTTTTCTCTGAGAATAGCCTGTTAAATTCTAACGGTGTAGAGTGGTTGAGAAGGAGCAACGCAAACTGAATTGTTTCTGACGCACATGCAGGTCGTCATTGACAAGTAAAGGATAGCCCTCCTAAACCTCTTCTCACGTGGATAAGTCCCTCCTCACTTGGGTAATCCCATTAACTTCCTCAAAGATCTAAATTCCCAGGCAGTCAAAGAACCCAGAATGTTTGTACCTATGGTTATTTTTCAAGTGGAGAAATGGAGAAAGATTATATGATTTTTTTAGGGAATACAGGTCATCAGGTGGAAAACAGCCTCTGTATTGGAAATTTGGACTTTGACAGTTCTCTCAAAGCTAATGGTGGCTTTGTTTGACCTCAACTAAGCCCTGTTTGGCAAATACTGTACCTGACTCAGTGAGAGAAAGGTCAGAAATGAGGAAAACCTTTGCTGTGAGAGTCTCATCAGTTTTTTATGGCATAGTTCATAGTTCTCTATTGTCTGCGATAGATGTAACTTTTAGCCAAGTCAGAAACCCCAGTTCTCACTCAGATGCTCAACATTATTTACAGAACAGAAGAAGATCTCATAAACTTTTCAACAAAACCCAGTTGAATTTTAAATATGTAACAAAGCAGCTGAGTTTTGGATGGTTTGGAAAGTAACAACCTCAAATCTGGAAGTATTTTATATGAAACCTGCAGATCTGTTTTAAAAGAAAACATTGCAATAAATTCAACACTGAAGTTGTTGGGCAACTTAATAGACCTAACTTCCTCCTCTAACAAATGAACTGCTTACATGGAACAATTAGTCTGAGACTCTGCAAACAAAACTAAAAGAAACTACTTTCTCCTTTCCCTGCTTTTTCAAAGCATTTCTTCTGAGTTTTACAGAAACCCTTAGGAATGTACACAACTGTTTTAATGTTTCCCATTGCCTTTTGGTCTTCACTTTTGCAAATTGATTTGTTGCTTTGTTATGTGCCTCTTAATATCACAAGGACCTTAATTAAGGCTTTAGGCTTCCCTGCTCACCAAGTTTAACAAACAAGCATACAGACTAGAGGCTCATTAGCTCAAAGGGGCACACTTTACTATTCAGAGCCAAGTTTCAGGCTGATCCATTGTGAAAACACTAGCATAAAAAGAGCAGTTTCGCAATGGAAATCTGAACGCTTGGCCCTCTTTTTATATACTACAATGATAATTTATTATCTTATTCTTTCTTACCTTCAGTCTTAATTCTTATTTTTACAATGATTAGACAAGCTTTATATGACTGCAAAGCAATAAACATAATTTATTAGTGGCTTGTTCCCAGAAACCTCTTTCAGATAAAACTCCTACTGTTCCCTAGGAGATTTTGTCAAGCAAGGATTCAGGACAGAGTGTGTTCAAAGCACAGGGCTGAGCAACCTTCACGGGCTAAGTGGTAATCACCAACACAGCTGGCTGCGGATGAGCTCACTAAAGGGTGTCTCCTCATCATCCACATGCCCCAGTTTCAAAGAGAAAGGAAGGTCTAAGGTAGCATTTATGGGCAGAAAAACAAGAAAAAAACGCCTGGACCAGGATAACAGACTGACACCAGTAGCCCTGAATTTCAGTGCTGGAGACCATAGGTTCCTGCTCCTCACCAGGAAGAGAAGAGGCTTTGGTGTGACTTCACATATCCTATGCAAGCCAAAAGCTCTGTCTATTAATGAGTTTTTTTCTTAATAAATTACTTAAACCTCTTTCATCCTAATATAAAAAGGGCCTATGGTGTTGCCATGCATTGGAGGCAGCATGTCTTCAGTCCATGGTTTAGTTGCCTCTTGTGTGAGCAAAGCAGCAAAGAAAATTTTTGAGGTGAGTCAGTGACTTCCTTTTGCAATGGCCTTTTGGTACCTTCAAGGCAACATTTCTCCATCATTTTCCACTTGGCATAACAGCGCGGTTTGGAATCCAGATCAGCAGTGTTGGTTATCCGAAATTGTTTTAATTGCAGAAGTATATTGACAGTGTAGAAATGAGAACTGTGAGATAATTCAGTTTTAATAAATATTCATACATTTCAGTAAGCATACAAATATTTTGACTGCAGTTAGCATTTCTTTAGGAACAGATAGGCAATATCAGTGTGCAGAATAGCAGTGCCTCTTCACAAGTGATTCTTTACTACCATAAATTAACTCCCTTTTTCCTTTCTCCACTACAAATATTAATCTGGGTGATTCTAGAAAGCCTGATAGATAATTCCACTTGACAAATAACCGCAAGAAAGTCTGACAAAACTATGGTAATTTTCCCTCCCTAAGTGACATGACAGTTTATCTGTGATGTTTCTGAATCAGGATTTAAGTGTTTGGGTCACGAGCTGTGCAATAAATGGCCTATTTATATAAACTTATAGTACCTGGAGAGTCAATCTCTGCAAATCCTGCAATAATCACTGAATACTCAGAACAAACCACAATTACATTGTCTGAACTCTTTGGTCGGTGGGTAAAACCCAGCTGAAACTGAGAAATCTGAAAGTCTGGCACCTTTGGGGGAAGCTACATGATCATGCCTGGGTACAAGTTTGGAAGCTAATTCACAAGCTTCAGTTTCAAATCAGTGAAATAATAATTGGAAGGAATTTCTGCAATCAATGAGAGGAACTGCCACACTCACACACAGGGAGAAGAAACGAAGCATAGAGAACCACCTCCTTCAAAAGGGACTGTGGGATATTTAGGTCAGTAGTCATCCACTTAATCTTACAGACTTAAGAAAGCAAAAAATGAGAAAATGAGTTTCATCTTCCTGCTTGTAAAACATGTACCTACAAAATGGTCATCTGGACATCACAACTGAGAGATACCAGCTAATGAACATCCGTCCAGTATGAAGAGCCAAGACACCTCTAACTTGTGAAGATCCCTGACTTATCCCAGTTTGTGTCCTGTGACAAAACACAGAAGAACCCCCAAATGTAAGGAAATCTGCCATGAATTTTTGGAAATTACTAGTGGATCCAAATGCAAAATCTGAGCCCCTTATTGAGGGTTTTGGGTTTTGTTAGGTGAAAAGAAACTATCTTTCAAGTGCCCCAAGCTGAACACCAAACATCACTGATCAGTTCTAAATTATAATGCAAACATGTGAAACAGACACATGCACAGATGGCTACATATATGTGTGCATGTCCCATTCTTGGAGTGAATTTGTAATGTGTTCATATGGAGTCACTTGATCATATGAGAGACTTATAATAAAACTGATTATTTAAATGAAGTGTGAACTACACAAACACTGTCAACTAATTCTGAGCAGCTACAGTATTGCCTAAAACAATTGTTTGAGGATTAGAAGGATTAGTTGTTGAGATTCAGTATAAACAGATCACAGCAACAATGCAATTGCTTGAAGGGCTTTGCTTCAGCATACATGCCATGGCTGCAAAAAGTGCAAGAGCATAAGGTCTGGAATATCCATTCAGAGGCAATGGCAATCAATGGCTGGATGCTGGACTTCTCTTCTAACTGAACACCGGTATTCTAAGGGATATTCACCTCTTGACATTTATTTCATTCTTTCTCAGGCTGGTCTTCACCCTGTGAGACAACATGTCAGTGAACCTGTACTAGAGACATATTCAGCCATATCTATTCCACTTAAACCTCATTATCTGCAAGGCTTCAGGCTGGACGGTGAGCCAGAGGCAGCCGTGTCCAGCTGTGAAGAGCAATGCTCAGCTCATGTCACATAAACAACAAGCAGAGATTGCCTTGGAGGTGACCTAAGACCTCTCTGGATCTGTTCACATACATGCGCCTTTTTGAAACAAAGCTAAATCCTTGGAGACAAAGTGTCTGTGTACAGAAAGGATCTCTTTCTTATTTGATCTTATAAGATGTGAGTTATGGTTAACAAATGCAAACAACCCACAGCCCATATTTAGTGTACTTTTTGTTAGTTTTAGCCTGTCTGAAATGCTTGGAGCCTGGTTGGTTTTGGCATAGACCTATGATGCACCATTGCATGGGTGAAGAGCCTGAGTCCAATAGGTCCTGTAGGAGTGCATTTGGTCCATAAAGAGCACATACAACGAAGTCCAGAGGATTGCGGTTACTTACATGCAATCTTACTGAGCTCTGAGGGGCATCCATTTCCAATGAAATACCAATGTTTATGCTCTCTGTAGGCAGAAATTAACTCCACTTCTTTTTTGTACTTTGTGAAAGTTATGGAGAGGTTTCTTGGTTTTGAATTTGCTTTTAAAAGCCATTTTGTCTCCACTATTTGTGCCTGTCCAGTTAGATTATCTTTTATTGCGTAAGGGTACATAAGAATTTGAAAAACAAACAGAAATTCAGCTATGAGCACAGTTAGAAAAGAGAAAGCAGCACAAACCCTGGATGTGTTAAGCATCTCTTTCATCAGTCCACCCTCTTGTGTTGGACTGGGACCAATGAAATAACACGGAACATCAATCTTTTTCAAAAAACAATGTGATTCTTGCAATGTCTAGCTCACTTCTGGGATTTGAGACTGTTTACTACAGTTTCTGAACTATTAAGACAATGTTAATGCAAATGACAATATTTATCTAGGTTACTGCTGTCAAGTACCCACTGAGAAACATTTTGCATTTATAGATGACCTTAAGCAACAATAGCAGAAGAAATTACTAGCAGCCAACATTCGGGATAGGCATGAAACTCTACATAAATCTAAAAAACAATAGTCCAGATTCTGCCGATAGGGACCACCTGGTGCTCCTAGTTACGCAGCTTTAATTCCCATTAGAAACATAGAATTTTGCCTTTGTATTATGATGTTCAACCACAGAAACTAAACTACAGCCATTTTTCTGACAGAGCTATTTATTTCCGACATTATTTCATGTTGTCAGTGACAAGTTTTATAGAAAATTATTTTCTATCCTTTTAGGCACAGGGGAGGACCTTTTTTAACATTTCAGTATATCAGAATAATCCAATACCATCATCAAAATAAATTAACATCAACTTACCTTCTGTGGACTTCTACGATATTGTAGGGCTGGGTGTCATATGACATAAAGTCATGACTGTATTTAGACCAAGGGATGCAGTTTCATTAGCCTTATAAAAGGATTTGCCTGGATGAAAAGGATAAAGACAATTAATCTAAGCATTTTAAGTAGGTTAGTAAAACGTTTTTAAGACAGTGAGCAGACAGTAATGATAAGAATTAAAGCAGTCCTTACTAAATTTAATTTGTTTTACTTCCAACTGAGCTTTCAACTGATGATAAATCAGAACTTGTTTCCCTTTTGCAAAACTTAAGGAGCGTTTGAGTCAAATTATAGGCAGACAGTGGGCTAAGGCTAGCACCCACTTCTGACACATGCTTTCTGGCTGAAATAATGAAAAGACATGTAGGGAAATTATGTATACACTTTTGTTTATCAGGTGGACATACAATTGCCATGAGTCTTCTTGGGAAATGGTGATGTTTTTATTGTTCTTCAGTACAGAATAAATTGTAGTTTCAGGTTGGTGATCAGGGAGCTCAAACAGATCCTGCACAAGCAAGAGAAGAAAGTATGGAAGTGCACCTACATAGAATCATAGAATCAACTGGGTTGGAAGGAACCTCTGAGATCATCAAGTCCAACCCTTGATCCAACCCCGCCATGGTTACTAGACCATGGCACTAAGTACTGCCATATCCATCCTTCCAGCACAAAACTGCTCTCCCCAGACCACTGTGCAGGATACTATTCTCTTTTCCTCAAGGACCACTGGAGAGCCAAATGTGCATTTATATGTGTTCAGGACTGGCCCATATAGACTTTGCCCTCACCACCTCATGCTTCTCTGCCACCACTGCCAGCACTACTACTTGTGCGTCTGCCCAGATGGACCACTTGGCCAAACGAGCCAGGATAACCTAGACAAAAAAAGAAAAGCACATTTCTTCTCAGGCTAGTCTGTTCCTCAGCCCACAGCAGACAAATCCCAAAATACACTTCTGGCACTGTGGGCCAATGGAAGACAGTGGTGGCAAAAGGTGTTGGCAGCTGCCTAGGTGGCAGTGCCCAGCATCAAGAGACTTTTCACCCCAGTGTCATTCTGTTTTCATCCCTGTACTCCAATTTATAATCTCTCATGCCACCACACTCCTCCAAGTTTGGCATGACACCAGAGATGTCTTTATTATCCATATGTATTTGCACAAAGTTATCACACTCACATCTCCAATTATCATGTGGCTCTTCTATCATAAAATCATAGAATCATAAAGGTTGGAAAAGACCTCCAAGATCATTGAGTCCAACCTTTGGCTGAACACCCCCACGAAAACTAAACCATAGAACCAAGTGCCTTGTCCAGTCATTTCTTTAACATTCCCAGGGATGGTGACAGCATTTACCTGGGCAGACTATTCCAATGCTTAACAACCCTTTCAGGGAAGAAATTTTTCCTTATGTCCAGTATGAGCTTTCCCTGGCACAGCTTGAGGCAATTTCCTCTTGCTCTGCCACTAGTTGTCTGGGACAAGAAGTCAACCCCCACTTGGCTTCCTTTCAGATAGTTGTAGAGGGTGATGAGGTCTATCCTGAGCCTCCTTTTCTCCAGGTTAAACACTTCCAGCTTCCTCAGCTGCTCCTCCTATGACATTCTCTCTAGACCCTTCACCCACTCCGTTGCCCTTCTATAGATGTTCTCCACTGCCTCAATGTCCTTCTTGATGTGAAGGGCCCAAAACTGAACACAGAATTTGAGGTGTGACCTCACCAGTACTGAGCAGGGCAAAAATCCTGCTGGCCATATTATTTTGATACAGGCCAGGATGTCATTGGCCTTCTTGGTCATCTAAAGTACTTATGAGTACATTCCCTTTGGCTGACAATTTTCCTGCCAAGATGATTCATCTCAAAAGCATCTCCCACACCTCTCATGCGAACGTGAGAGAGAGAAAGCTCTCCTTGATCTGTGGAGCACTGTGCTGTCCAGGCACTTCTTCCTCACCTTCCTAGCAGCCTCTCCTGCCCTGTCTTGTGGCAGGCAGGTGGCATTGGCTGCAGTCTTGGTAGTCTCAGGGTCTGCCTTACAGTGCCTTTACTGCCCAGAATAAGCCCTAATGTGTGCTGACAGACCTGTTGCAGCTTTGCTCTCAGTTATTCTGATACAGTTTATTACATTTAGATCATTGACTGTATCACTGCATCTAGTCAAATGACTAGACTGTAGGGAAAAGAATGCTAAAGGTCAGAAAACAGTTTCTACTCACAGCCAGCTGCAAATGGTATTGGTTTTTTTTCACAAAAGAAGCATTTTATACATGTGTGTGTTTTCACATATACATGCATTACATATATATACATATATATACATATATATATGCATGTATGTGAACATGTGCCTGTGAATCTTTGGATATGAAGGTGTACATAAGCACGTACATATGGAGGTACAAGGCACACCAGCCTTGGATGGGTACGGGGGCCAGAACAGTTTGTTTCTTTGTTTGTTTTTAGCTTACCTGCGGCTACTGCCCAGGTTCAGCATGTTCTGGGTATATTTGCTTTGCTTTGTTACATCCTGAAAGGGTGGTCAGGACAAAGGGTTGTTCCTGGGTATTTCCTTGAGATTGTATATAGATAGGTAATAGTAAAGTAAGAAATGAAAGACTTGCCCAAATCGTTCTAAAAGGAATGAAACCTGTGTACCCATATGTGGTTGCGAGCTACGCTGGCGATGGTACATGCCTTCGGTAGGGTCGCCCATGCCAGACAGGTCAAAACCATAGGGCCAGATACAATACATTCTTGGGCAGGATGTGCCCGTTAGCCTTCTGGCAGTCATCCTAGGAGAATGACAACTCTAATCCCAAACCCGAGCAGATGGAGTTCCTTAGCCCTGTAAGGCCATCCATCTAAGAGAAGGTCACTCTAACTAAACCTTCATCCTGAGGACCTCGCTGCCACCATCCAAGCTCGCTCGGCCCTGGCAGATGAACCTTGGGATTAAAGGGTGGGTTCAGTTCTAAGCATACTGCATCTCACCTAAAAAAAAATCCATTGCACAGGCTTAAAGGCTTTACTTACATTCAAAAAACCCTGTAGCAATGGGCAAGGGTCGAAATGGCAGGTGAAAGGTGCACTGGAAGCCGCAGACCCAACCCTGCATGCAGGCAGTTCAGGATATTGGTCATTTGAGACTGACTGGAGATGACAGTCTCTTGGGGCAGCACCCTGAACGACTAAGCAGCCTTTTCAAGGACAGCGCTGCTTGCTCCACTCGGAGAGGGGCCTAGAAAAGGTGGCCTAAAACAAAGCTCATCTCCACCTTCACCCGGTTGGTTAACCGCAGGCCAACAGGCATCTTCTTCCAATACGGCCACACAAAGATCAAAAGACAAAGACATACACCTGTCTCCAAAGGTGTACCAAAATTAACTCTAGCATGTTGGAACATCAGAACCATGCTCGATTCTGCGGACAGTGAACGTCCTGAGCGTCATTCTGCCCTGATTGCCCATGAACTGGCTTGTCTCAACATTGACATTGCTGCTCTCAGTGAAGTTCGCCTTCACGAGGAAGGCAGCCTCAGAGAACATGGTGCCGGTTACACTCTTTTGGTCAAGTAAGCCCAGAACCGAAAAACAACTCTCAGGAGTCGGCTTTGTGATCAAAAACTCTTTTGTTCCTAAACTTGAAAATCTGCCAACAGGTCACTCTGACCACATTATCTCCCTACGCCTTCCACTACACAACAAGCAACACGTTGTCCTCTTTAGTACATATGCCCCAACTCTCCAAGCTGACCCTGCTGGAAAAGATAAATTTTACACTGACTTGTGCCACCTTACCCAAAAGGTGCCTGCAGATGATAAGATCATTATCCTTGGTGATTTCAACACCAGAGTAGGAAAGAACTTTGAAGCCTGGAAAGGAATATTAGGCAAGCGTGGTGTTGAAAACTGCAACGGTAATGGTCGACTTCTGCTAGAATTCTGTGCGGAGCAACAGCTCACCATCACTAATACTATCTTTCAGCAGAAAAATAGTCTGAAGACAACCTGGATGCACCCTAGATCTAAGCATTGGTACCTCATCGCACCTTGGTGCGACAGAGAGATGTCCGTGATGTCCACCATACCCACGTGATGCCCAGTGCAGAATGCCAAACAGACCATCGGCTTGTGCGTTGTAAACTTAACCTCAATCTTAAATTCAAACCTAAAAGGGGTAGTATCCCAAGGAGAAAACTCCAAGTTAACAATCTCCAGTCATCCACAGTAAGAGACAGATTCCAAGCAAACCTTCAAACTAGGTTCGAAAACCATTCCATAGATTCTACAGATTCCTCTCCTGAAACAATTTGGCGCCATATTAAAAACAGTGTCCTGCAATCCTCTGAAGAATCCTTAGGGTTCTCCTTCAAGAAGAACAAGGACTGGTTTGATGAAAACAATTAAGAGATCCAGGAATTGTTGAGGAAGAAGAGAACCGCTCACCAAAGCACACCTTGCACTGCCATCCTGTCACGCAAGAAAAGCAGCCTTTCGTCTTGCATGCAGCAAGCTCCAACAAACTCTGTGACATACAGAACAAATGGTGGATCGATCTAGGTGAAAAAACAAAATTATGCGCAGATAGGGGTGATCACAAAGGATTCTATGAGGCCCTGAAAACAGCATACGGGCCTCCATACCAAGTCCAAAGCCCCCTAACTCAGCGCAGATGGTCAAACGCTTCTAACAGATAAAACCTCCATTCTGAATCGATGGTCTGAACACTTTCAGACTCTTTTCAGTACCAACTGTGTAGTCCAAGACTCAGCAATTCAGTCCATCACACAACAACCAGTGAAATACGAACTGGATACTGCCCCCACTTTAGGGCCATACAGCAGGTGAAAATCGGCAAGGCATCTGGGGTTGATGGAATTCCACCCGAAGTCTGGAAACATGGGGGCCTTGCACTCCATGCTAAATTTCACGAGTTTGTAGTGCGCTGTTGGGAACTAGGTGAACTATCATCAGACCTTCGTGCTGCAGTCATCATCACTTTGTATAAGAAGAAAGGTACTAAATCAGACTGTTCAAATTACCGTGGTGTTACTCTGCTCTCCATTGCTGGCAAAATCCTGGCAAGAATACTTTTGGACAGACTAATACCCACTATAGCAGAAGGAATTCTACCTGAAAGTCAGTGTGGTTTCAGAGCCAACAGGAGTACCACAGACATGGTGTTTGTTCTCAGACAACTGCAAGAGAAGTGTAGGGAACAGAACAAAGGTCTCTACGTAACCTTTGTCGACCTCACCAAGGCTTTCGGTACTGTGAGCAGAAAAGGTCTGTGGCAGATTTTGGAACGTTTAGGTTGTCCCCCCAAGTTCCTTAAACTGATCACCTCACTCCATGAGGATCAGCACGGCCAAGTCAGATATGGTGATGCACTTTCTGAGCCCTTTCTAATAACTAATGGTGTGAAATAAGGCTGCGTTCTCGCTCCAACCCTATTCACAGTCTTTTTCAGCATGATGCTCGAAAAGGCCACGGCAGA